TATTTTTTTTTATAAGTTCATTTTATCGGACGTGATGTTAACGACGACCTAATATGTTGTCTACAATTATTATTTTAGAGTTGGATGTTGTATTTTTTACACATGTCCACTGCCAGTTTTTGACGATTACAAGCAGCTAACCGCAAAAACTTTTCACCTTTCACCAAATCTTGCTTAACACCATCTCCATGATAGTAAATATTTCCTACTTTATACATCGCAGTTGGATTATTATTAACAGCTGCCTTTTCGTAATACTCTACAGCCTTAATCGTATCTTTATTCGTCCCCACACCATTAATTCTACAATTCCCATACATCAGCTGTGCATCTGCCATACCGCCATCTGCTGCTTCTTTAAATAATTGACTGGCCTGTTTCTCACGTACTTCTCTTTCAGATTCTGGCCAGTCTAGAATGTTATTATAAAGAAAATAGGCCTTCCAATATTTTGCAGTAAGGTCGCCTATATTTGCATATGCATTAAAACACTTCCAGGCATTTGATTTATCACCATTACTTTTATTAAATTCTTCGATTGCTTCTTCAACAGATATATCACCAAGTTCATCAAAATTGAAAAAAGATTCAGATTCTTGACTATGAAATTCATCAGTTGAGTTGACATTTGTATCCAATAGGCTAAATTTTTGTTCAATTAACTTTTGAAGAGACAGAAATATATCAGCAAAAGATGGTCGAAATTCTGGATTCTGATGCCATGTTTCTATTTCAAAACCACATAGATTAACAAAATTTGTAATCAATTTATAAATTGAAGTAAAATAATTGGTATTTAATTAAAACCTTTTACTAAATCTTTCCACTCTTGAGGAACTCCACCGTGAGAAAACTTTTCGCGACGTTGTTCTACGATGATCTTATAATAAAACTCTTTAATGTCGATTTCTGTATATGGAATTTTTAGTTCTGCAATTTCCCAGAGAAGCATACCAAGACTATCAAAGAAGTTTAATGAATTCAATATTGGAAAATAAAAATAATAACTAAAGAAGTTAGTTACTTACCTATATACCTCGCATTTAATGTCATATTTATATTTAGAATTAAGCAATTTCTCTGGAGCCGTATATCGAACACTTTGAATGTCAAACTCAATAGGTTTGGTGGCATCAGCAAATTTACTACTTAGTCCAAAATGTGCAATCTTTGCATGTTTGTTGATAGTGATTAAAATATTATCCGATCTTATGTCACGGTGTAGGATTTTTACTGTTGTTAAAAAGTTCAATCCACGTGCCACATCGAGTGCAAATTTCAGCTTTAGATCATAATCCAAATTATATTTCTTATAATATTCATTCAAATTTCCAAATTCTGCCCATTCTGTTACTAAATACAACATATCTTCTCCTTTAGCTAGACCAAAAAACTTTATTATTTCGTGACAATTATTTATACGTTTTAGAATTGATACTTCGTTATTATATATACGAGAAATTGGCATTTCTTTGAAAGAAAATTCAACACTGTCAACTTTTCGGGTTCGTTTTACTGCTTTTCCATGAGAATTCTCCGGAAGATTATAATCTTCTATTTTCAAAAACTCATCGCAGAACATATCAGCAATTTGAGATTGGTCATTTTCAAAAGTATTAAAAGTATTTTTAAGTGCAAAAATCTCGTTAATATTATTATTAATTTTATGATCCGGATCTGTGATACCACCGTCAATTTTCTCCAAATACTAATAAAAGATATAAAAAGATTTTGATGTCAGTAATATAAGCTATTATTTATAGAAAAATATACCATTAATACCTCATTAAAAGATTCTGTATCTATTTTTAAAGCTTCATTATCTTTTTCTGTCTGAAACTGATTTTCAGTAGTATTCGATAAACTGAGATCTTTCATGTGTTTATCAAAAGCGGATTTCAATTTTTGAAAGGTTTGATCAACAGTTCCAAGTTGTAGGTATTTTTGAAGTCCAATGATTTGCGAAATTTCAGCCGTAAAACTTTTTATTTCTTTAACTGTGTTGATGAATCTACTAAATTGGATGAAACTTTTTTTATTAAATAAGGTCAAGTCATTCTGCCTTAATGAAATCTCTTCATATGCCTTTCCAACCTAATGAAGGTAACATAACCATAAGTTAGGCACAATATATAAAAACCAGTTGAACATAGATATAGAAATATTAACCCTCTCCGATAGGGAACCGCATGTCCGCTTATAATGTTCCGCAATTATATAAGTATTTCTAATTTCTCTATATGCATCGGAAAATGCCTTGACAATTGATCTTGATCTATTAAGTTCCGTATTCGGTGATTTTATATTCAGATCAGCATCTACAATTTTTGCACTTATTGAAATTTTGAAGAGCGAAAGTGAGCTTTCTGTTTATTCATAAATATAAAATTTAACTTTACAGAAAAAAAAATATTAAAAACCTTTCATTGGATTTGATTTTAGTATTACTCTCAATAGACTTGATCCTAGTATTATTCTCAACGAATTCAATTGATTTATCTGACGATAAATTCTCGAGTTCTTCTAAAACCATATCTGCTTTAGGACGTTGTTCAGGGTCACTAGACCAGCATCTACAATAAAGATTGATGTAATCTTCGGGTGCATTGTTTAAGGGTATCTCTCTCTCGTCGTTTGCTGTTTTAAAAATAATTGCAAAACTAGAATAGTCTTTAAATGTGAGTGTTCCACTTGTGAGTTCCCAGAATAGTACACCTAGACTATAAATATCTGATTCGGGATTATAATTAGCTAGTTTTCCATCTATTAATATTGTTTTGTGGTACCATGGGTCAATGTACGCAGGCATTCCCGTGATCGAGCTTGATGGTGCGTAATATTTATTCAAATTCTTTGATATTCCAAAGTCGGAAATTAAAGCTCTATCTTCATGCATTAGAATATTTCTAGAATGCTAGGGAAATTTATAATTATATCATGAGCATCATAAGCTAGAACGTCAATCATTAAAAAAATAATCGCAGATAAATGAAACCTACAAGATCACGATGAACTATCTAGTTGCCGTGTAAATATTTTATTCCGCAGGTAATTCCCTTTGCAATGTTGAGAAGTTCATTCCATCGAATTGTATAAAGACCGTCCACTTGTTTTTCTCGTATGTAATGTCGTAAGTTACCATTATTTGCAAGTTGTAATACCATCATGAAATTACCATCTGAATCTTAATTATATATTATAGTCAAAAAATGAGATGATGCACATGTAACAGCAATCAATAAGTCTAATTTTTAAAATTATATACTATTTGAAAATCCATATAGTCTGATAATATTCATGAATAGTCGTGTATAGAAGCTTAATCTACGTGTTTAAAGTGCAAACTTTGTTAGATTTATGTTAAGTAAGAACATGACAACTAAGCATTTATTGTCGTGATTTTACCTCACGCCTGATTAGTTCAATGGAACAGTCATCTATGGACAGGCTTGTATTAAAATTTTTCAATGCATACTTTTTTCCTTGAAAAGTGGCCGAGTACACTTGCGCATATTCTCCACTGGAAATTTTTTGAATTCCACTAAATTGAGAGTAATCAAAGCTTGTCATTTTCAGATTTTGTGCTATATATATCAATTTCTCATCAAATGTAGGTAGCTAATGCCATATAAATATTTTAACAAATGCTGCAGCATTAATCAATTTTAATG